CACAAAACCCTCAAAGGAAAATTGGGGAGAGAAGGGCAGCGCTTTTTCAAATTACCAAAAATCAAAGAATTATCCAACTTAAATGAAAATTTTAATACATATTCATCAATTATTTACTTTTATAATGAATAGGTTTTTTATTTTAAAAATATCTGAGAAAATGTTATTCTTTTTGTAACAACCACTGACATTTTCATAACTAAGTTTTACTCAAAAAAATGTTTAAGTCACAAATTTTTACATTCCCATAAGGATTAATTGCTGATGCATCTCCACTGAAAAAAAAGTTTTACAAAGATTCCAACACAACACAAACGAGATTGCCTTCAAAATTTGTTTTAAAACAGTATTTCAGTTTTCAGGAATATTTTTCATGTGTTGAAATCTTTAAACATTTTTATTTTTTAAGTGATCATTTTCTCATTTTTATCTTTGTATAAATGTAAAAAATAGGGACTAGAAATTTTATTTTAATTACTAGCTGTGGACTTCTGGTTAGTAGTAATATTATTAAAAAAATCAGAATAAAAAATGATTTTACTGAGAGATATTACCATCTTAATTGATTTAAAAGAACTGTTCAGAAAGAAAATTACAATTTAAATAAAATAAATCCTACTGAAATTAGTACTTCTGCACCCCCTCCCCAGTAGTCATGGAGCCCCCATGTGGTTGAGAGGTTCAGGGTAGTAAGCACCAACCCTGTCAATTATTATAGTTGATAATTGGCAATATAACTTAGGTAGAAAAAAAAGAAAAAATGCTGCAAAAAAAAAAACTAACCATTTTGAGGCTCCAACCTCATCGGGGGTTTTCTGAGTAGTACGCACCATGCTGACTATGCAAATACATGATGTATATTATTAGTTGATGATTGACAATGTAACATCAGTTCAAAAATAATTAAACAGTGCTGAAAAAAATGGCAGAGGCCACAACAAGGCCCAAAAAAACACACAAAATCACCACCCCCACCCCACCCAGTCACGAATAAGACACGCTGGCCCTGACGTAGTGAACATTGTTTTGGAACGTCCATTTTCTTTTGTATACAAATACAAACTTGTATCCTTCTTGTGCGACAGAGTTTATAGTTTATGGTATATTGGAACAGAGAGAGAAAGAGATTGAGTCCCTTGTTTTTTTTTTTTATTATTGCAAATAGTTGTCTTGATTAGTTCTTTGGTGATTAGAGTGGAGTGGACCAGCCTGTCAGGCAAATGGCTAGAGAGAACTGACCTCAAAGCCCTATTTTTCCTGGGTTTATATTTAAGTTGGTAAGTGGCTGGGGAGTGTGGTGAGTGCTTGTCAGATTGTCACTTTCATACCTGGTCGGTGATGTTTTGTTTCACTTATCCAAGTATCTGGTTTCAGAAACGAAGTTAGCTGATACACTTCTCCTTAAAAATGCAGGTGTTAACAAGATAACTAGGTGAGACTTTTCAGGAAATTTAAGAAATATTTTTAATTTATTTTATTAATGTTTGCCTACTACTAGAATGCTAATTTATTGGTGTAAAAAATATACAGAACCCTAAGTTTGTTAAGTCCATCGTTAACTGGGGCAAAAGATGGCTTGTTAATTTTAATGCTTCCCAAACTCAACTTCTCTCCATTATCTGTTCATATTTCTGAGATGAGGTATTATGTACATTATTTACATTATTCGGACTATTATCCTCATCTTTGTCGCCATATTTATTACAATGTTTCGGCCATTGTACACTCCAGCCTTCTTCAGATGGTTGGAATGTCAAACTGAACCCTTTAATTCACTCAGTGGGGTAGACTGTTCTAGTTCCACGTGCCATCTTTTTGTTCCTAATTCTTTGACACCCAGTAACACCTGTGTCTTAGTAGCTTTACTGCTTTGCATGGGGTGAACTTGATTAAAAAAATAAAAATACATGCATATATATATATATATATATATATATATATATTCTTGTGTTCATTGATCATTGTTGATCTGCTCCACAAAATATTTTGTGATAATGTCTCTCCTGTGGATGATGCACAATCCAGCATTAATGTGAAGATTATACAGCTCCATAACACTAAAATATTTGGCCCTATGAAATTACCAATATATCTCCAATTGCCATAGTCTGGCAAAATTGGTATGAGATTTGCTGAGCAAATTTTAATCTGTTGTTCTGATTAGTCTTCTTTTGCTCTTGCTCCTTAGTAATGTTTATATTTTTAATTCTTTCACACCTAGTAACCCCTTGCGTCTTAGTGGCTTTATTGCCACCAACTAAAAAAAAGAAAAAAGTGAACTGACTCACTCATGACCAATTTAGAAAGAATGCCTTTATTTTTACTAAACTGATGTTATTTTGACCCAAGGCCAGTACTCTGAGGATTGATTTGTGGTTAGAGAGTTATAACATTGCAGAAGACAAGGATATTATTTTACTTGTTTTAAAAATTCTCCAGCACTTGGTTGCATGGAAGAAATTAAGCTTCCTAGAAGAAGGATATTTTCCAACCTTGATCTGCATCAATAGTGACTTTGATACTAAAATAAGCCAGTAATTACTCTTTGCTCAATTGTGAAAGCCAGGAATATGAGCAAACAGCTGCTGATGTTTCGAAACAGCCTTCAATTATGGAAGCACGTGCTCATCAATTATTATAACCTAATAACTGAATAAAGAGTTACTGTCCTCATTGGCACTGAAAGAGAAAAAAAGATTACACAAGGAAAATAAAAAAGAATGTATGTGTTGAATGAAGTAAAATTCTCTTGGCAAATTTGTAATCATGCTTACATTGAAAGTTTAGAGACTATAGCATTGTTTTAAAGAAATTTTACATACTGATTTGAAAGGTATTTTACTAAAACTGACTTTTTTTTATTTACACATTTCAAGATCTTAAAAACCAGTGTTATTGGAAAAAACACAGAGAGCATCATAATTCACAAAGTATCTATTTTCCTTTTTAAGAAAAGCACACTTCTTCACCAAGATATTTTTCTTAAGAGCCTATATCTGTTCAATTGTGTATCCAAAACATAAACAAAGCATTTTTTAAAAGAATTAATGGGTTTATTTTTAACCCAATATTTTTATTACTTCAAACATTATTATAGTCGATATTCATATTTAAAATAAACATCCCATTTTTATTTTAAACAGTGCGTATTACATCTATTAGTCTGTGTGTTCAAGAAATATTAATAGATAAAATGTGTTCTCTGGCAGAAATTAAACCTGTGGCCACCACCTGTTCTGCTGGAGAATATATGTCAATATGAAACTGAGCAGATATAGATGTACAAGAAGAGGTTGTGCTTTCCTTAAAAAAAGAGAATAGAGAGCACTGCTTAACTGCAATGTTCTTCATGGACAAGCGGTAAAGCTGACCTGATCAAGTTGTAGTTTCTCCTACAACTAGGGACACAGCTTTGATCCCTGCTAAAGAGCACATTTTCTTTAGTAAGTTTATATTACCTCAAATGTTATTATAGGGAACACTTTTTATTTGAAATAGACATCACATTTTTATTTATTAAACAGTGTGAATTATCTCTATTGGCCTTTGTATCTGTGAAATCCTAGTAATCAAAGTAGGTTCCCCTTTATAGTGGAAACCACTGTTTGATCTGGTGTGCTTTACCACTCAGCCATGAAGAACATCACCGTGAAGAAAACTCTATTTTCCCTATTTACGAAAAGCACATTCTCTTCACTCATTTTTCTTGAGAGCCAATATCTGCTAAGTTTTGTATCAGTAAACAAAGTAATTTCTAAGGACTCAATGGATATATCTCAAATACTTCAAAATTAATTGGGGCAATAATTTTCTTTTTATTAATATTAAAAATAATTAATAGGGAGAATAGTTCTGAAATAATAGGGAAGTTAATCCTAAAATATTAATGTGTTGGAAATATTTTTTAAATCAAGATGATCTAATTTTTATTTTAATAAAGAAACTTAAAAAAAGAAATTAATGTTATGTCTATTCAAGACATTGGTGATCATGGCTCTCCACAGACTTCTTTTTTCTTTACTATTTATGAATTGCCATAACTTCTTTGAAAAGATAGTGGAGTATTGTCCTATTGTCTTCTTTGTGGTTTTGAATTTGGAGTAGTCCTTTCCCTAGACTGGCTGCCATCCAAGGCTAGAGAACCCAATCTAACAGAAATATTAAGTTACCCATTTATTTCATTTACCTGCTTTAAGTTGTGATATTGATATATATATATATATATATATATATATATAAGAGACATCTTTTGTTATCTATTCAATATTCACCTTGCCTACATGTCTGTTCATATTGCTTGACAACCTCCCAACCCAACCCAACAAAAGACAATAAAAACATGATTTCTGTCTAAAGAGTGCAATTTCAGAAAGAGCGCAATTTCAGAAAGAGCGCAATTTCAGAAAGAGCGCAATTTAATTTTTTTTTTAATTTCTTAAAAAATATTTTTTTCTGCTGTAAGTTTATTCTTTTTTGTTTTGCTTATTATTTTTGTTCTTTTTATTTATTCAAAACTATATATAGCTTCACCAGGAAGACAAAAAAATTAAAAACTAATCTTTTTTTTAGAATGAAAATGGAGAACTTGAAGCGAAAGAATTTTATAAAAATTGTGTGAAAATATTGTTTAAAAAAATATTTAGGCTTTTGTTACTGTCTTCATGCGTGTAAACGTGTGTTTGTCTATACGCAACACATTGATAGTTGTATATGTAAATATATATATGTATTGGTTTAGATAATTTTAAATTCATGTGTGTGTGCATATTGTTTAAAATTTGCTATATTTATTGGGGAAGAGTGCTCAGTATCTGAGCATGTATAGATATAAACAATGTGAATGTGGTGATTGTCAGTTTGACATGTCAATGCAATCACCAGACCAAGTCTATAAAGTGATATATATAATGAACACACATAGAAAGAGAAAAATAAATTGGAATAAATGCAAAATGTATAAATATATATAAATATTTAGATGAGATAGATAAAGAATAGACTGAAATAGATAGATAGATAGATAGATAGATAGTGATATGTCTCGGAAAGGGATATATTTGTTCAAAGTAGCGAAGTGGTTTTGGACTACTGTAACCAAGTAGGACAATCTAGCAGTTAACCGTAATGGACTGGTCCTCATCATAGTGGTAGGCAATAGGCGTAGGCATTAGGCGAAGACAATAGGCAAAGTTTTTACCTCCACATCAGTCTGTATTTATGGCTGACACCAGCCAATCATATTACTGTGAGGGGGAACCCAGGTGTATGCATATTCATTACATCAGATAGATAGATAGATAGATAGATAGATAGCAGACTGAGATAGATAGATAGATAGATAGATAGATAGATAGATAGATAGATAGATAGATAGCAGACTGAGATAGATAGATAGATAGATAGCAGACTGAGATAGATAGATAGATAGATAGATAGCAGACTGAGATAGATAGATAGATAGCAGACTGAGATAGATAGATAGATAGATAGATAGATAGCAGACTGAGATAGATAGATAGCAGACTAAGATAGATTATTCATAGACCTCTACTACAAAGTCTATTTCATTTACACATCTAAAGACTATAATTTCACTATATTATTATCATTATTAGGGTGTATCAAATATATTTTCATTTTTTTTACAGACCTTTACTCTAAAGCTTATTTCATGTCCACATCTGAAGACTCTACTCAGTCTGTTTTTCATAGACATGAAGTAAAATGATTATATTGAATCAATTGTTATGTCTGCTGCTAGGAAATTTGGTTCCTTGTGTTATGATAGACAATTTTTCTTGCCAGAATCTATTGTGCACCATTATAAAACTATCGTGTGTTAATGCATCAAATATTGTTGCCACATCTGGTCTTCTGCTTCTCCTATGTATTTAAAGATTCTTGAAAGAGTCTAAAAAAGAATCTGCAATCCCATCAGCTCTGACCTGGCATCTCAAATTCAGCCACTTTCCCACTGCCATGCCATAGCTTTCCTTTGCCTTTTCTATAAATATTTTCATGGTAATTGTTCTGATCAGCTTTCCTCTATGGTACCTCAGCTTCACAAATTTAAGCCCAAAACTAGAAACAAAAGGTACAGCTAAACCGTATTCATGATTATATTATTTATATAATAATAATAATATTAATAATACAGTGAAACCGTAGATAGTATTTAGATGTGTACATGAAGTAAGATTTGTAATAAAGATTTATAAAAAACAAAAATATTTTTATATACTTTTGTTTTTATCATTACACCATAAGCAAGATGGTAAAAGCCACTAACTTTGGTATCAAGATCTGTAAGCTTTCAGAAGATCAATGACCATTGAAAGATGCCATATTCAGAGCATTATATAAGCTTAAAAAAAAAACATATTTGCCAGACTATTGGGCGAACCAATACATTGGATGCATCTAGATTTTGGCATGGAATATTTACAAAAAAGGAAATGCACACATTGCAACAAAAAAATCAAAATTTTAACCTTACCTTTATGTGACATTTTCACTAACCATGAAGAAACACTTAATATATTAGAATGAATTATATGACTGATACTTTTTTTTTTTAATAGAAATGAGATAAGGCTTAATTACCAGGACATTTTTTGGAAAAGAAAAATTTCATCATACATTTATTGAAAATTGTTTTATTGTTTTTCAGATACTGCACATACAGTAAATGCATAATAGCTGCAAAGAAATCTACTGGTATCGGTGAACACTGGTACATATGGTAATAGGGCAAAAAAACAGAAATATAGTACTTGTTGGTAAATGAAGTCCCAGGCCATACGTGCAGAAAAGCAAATGCCCAATACTTGTATATCAACAAAAACACACACAAAGCAAACAGCAATATACTAGTCAAAGCAAATATTTCTGTAAAATTTGATATTTCTACAAAACAAGCAGCAAAATATTGTGCAGTTCCATAAATTTCTTAATTTCTTTTTCTTATATCTGTCTATATTTCTGAGATGAGGTATTATGTACATTATTTACATTATTCCGACTATTGTCCTCATCTTTGTTGCCATATTTATTACAATGTTTCAGCCGTTGTACACTCCGGCCTTCTTCAGGTGGTTGGAATGTCGAACTGAACCCTTTTATTTTGCTTACTGGGGTAGACTCTTCTAGTTCCACGTACCATGTCTAATGGATGTCAGTTATCAGTTATCTCCTGTTAATTCCCCTCTCCAAGTTCTCCACTGCCTTAACCGGGTATTTAACTCACACACTTTGGGTTCTGTCACTGGATCTAACCAATGCCTTTATCCACCGTACCACGTGTCCTTGAGGAGATAACTGATAACTGACATCCATTAGACATGGCACGTGGAACAGGAACAGTCTACCCCAGTGAGCGAAATAAAGGGTTCGACATTCCAACCACCTGAAGAAGGTCGGAGCATACAATGGCCGAAACATTGTAATAAATATGGCAACAAAGATGAAGACAATAGTCCGAATAATGTAAATAGTGTTCTTTTTCTTGGGTAAATTTTTCAGGGATATTTTTTATTGATATCATGTTTGTTTACTTCCAGGAGTCCTAGTTTCAGAGATAAGCTCCATGCATGCACTGATTCTTGGTGAACCCCACTTTTTTCGTGGTTGTCATATCCCTCTCATACATGATACTGCTGTATTGGATGCAGAGTAATTTTTTGGTGCATTCTTTTGGGAAAAAATCCACATCTAATAAGCCGGCAAATACAGTGTACAGGATTTTTCAAGTTGATTAGAAAATGAAAATATTTTTGGTATATCTTAATATTTTAAGACATTTTTATGTTTATACATTCTTTTTTATAGATACAAATATTCAAGTAAATGCTCTGTTTATAATAAACAGAATTAACAACATTTACCGGCCTGAATGTCCAAGAAATTGTCATAGAAAATATTTGTCCATTTGATAATGTTTGATGTCATTTGGATATGCATCAAGCAGATATGAATGTACATGAGAAAATCATGGAAAATTGTAGTTAAAAAACAATAAAATTGACCTTGCTAACTGAAACACTCCTCTGTGGCGAAATCAGTAAAAGCACGTCAGGCTATATGACGGTTCCGTATAGGATACAGGTTTGATTCCTGTCGGAGAACGCATATTTTTTATGAAAATTTCTCTGACATTCAAGCCGGTAAATGTTGTTAATACTGTTTATTATAAACAGATCATTTGCTTAAATATTTGTATCTATAAAAAAGAATGTATAAACATAAAAATGTCTTAAAATAATTGTCAAACTTTGTCCATTTCATAATATCTTAATATATAAAATTCAAGAGGAATTATTTCACAGTTCCTCATACTCCAGGATTTCAAAAGGTCACATATTTTCAGCCAGTGCAAATGAAATGATCTATCATCAAAGAAGTATTGAAATTTTGAATTTCACTTTGAACTATGAACCATGTAATTGTAAAAATCACTAATCAAGGAAAGGAAACCACTACCTCTGATTTCATTTAATCTGGACCATCAGAAAAATGTTTTTATACAATAATCTGTGAAATTGAACCAAAGTGGCAGTAGTTGCAGATTGTGTGAAAATCAACCTGAGAATGGCAATTTGTTCTGTTCCTCCTTCCATAAATCTTTGTTCTTTTTTCAACACATCAATCATAGATTTTTTTTTTTTGCAATAATGTTCACTCTGTACAAACCATAAGAGCCACTCAAGGTAGAGGGATACAAAGTAAGTGGTAAGGGAAACAGTTTGTGAAGTTATGTGGGGAAGATAACCCTAGACTTGAACAGGTTAAGACTGTAGTGATCAGAGAAACATGCTCTTGGGAACTGGTTCCACAAAGTAGTGGCTCGTGGGTAGAAGTTGTTCGAATGAAACTTACATCTCAAAACAAAGGGAGTAAAGGTAGTCTGCTACAATGTATGTGCTTTGGCAGGTCTTAACCATGAAGGCTAGAACTAGTGGAGATGAGGAATGTCATTCACCTGAACACACCCAGAAATAGTGATAGAGTAGCAAAAGGCTTGCAATGTTTCATCCAAGGGAAACGGGTTGTAGGGTGGAAAATAACTCATCACCCACAAGGTTGCATAGATGCTTTTGGAATATAGCAAAAATGAAAGAAGCTTAAATAATTGATGAAATGATGAAAATAGTTCTCAGAACTTTGGACATACAACCAAATATAACCAAACATTTCCTTCCTGACGCAATTTTTGGCCTTTTGCCATATCCGATGACATATGAAATTCTTCCAATTTCTTTTTTTTGTTTAAAATAGTTGAAACTCATAAGTCTTATATGATAAGTTAATTAATATTTTATTTAATAGTTTATTTAATATTTTATTTAATAACATTTAATAGTTTATTTAATAGTTTATTTAATATTTTATTTAATAGTTTATTTAATATTTTATTTAATAACTGGTTAACTAATATTTACCCTGAGGTTTTCAAGCCTACATCCCTTTTCCTACAGACAAAACATCACAAGCCTATTGCTACTGTTAAATAATAGTTTAGCAAACTATTATTTTGTAGAGAAAGTGTATCTCTGCTCTAACTTCCTGTGGTTGACCATGGGATCAGATACAAGACATAAGGAAGTCAATTTTTATTGGCATGGGAATGATAAATACAGAAAGGTTTTTCCTCAAGTCGAGTCTTAACCATCAAGCAATATAGATGTATTCTCTTTTGTGTCTGAAACAGCTCCCAGTGCGAAGGAATGACCCCCGCACTGGATAGTTAGTACATAAAATAGTTAAGTTAAAATTCTCCATGTTTGATGTCATTCATTGCTGCCCAAAACCATCTAGCAATCACCAGCTAAGAGAGAAGATGCAATATTTTATCAAATTGGTGCTGTTGACGAGGACCTCCTGGCATGAGGAGACTATGCAACATTACTTCCATGGCAAATGTCTAGACAAGCAATATTCCTTATTTCCAACAGTTCAAACATTTATAGCTAACACCTAACCCTGCCACGTACACAATATTGAATCATCCTCATTCACCTCATATTCCTTTTGTAAAAAGAATATTCCAGTCAGAGAGCTTTTTTAACTGAGAACCACTATTTTGTGGAACATACTCCCGAGGGGATGCTTCCCCAATCACTACAATCTTAACCTCTTCAAGTTTACAGCCAACTATTATCTAATCTACATATCCTCATAATCTGCACTTACACTCATACAACAACTCTATATATCTTGAGTGGCTCTTGGGCCTTATTATGAAATTTTACAATAAAATAAAAATAAAATGACATGATTTATACACACATAAATATGGTAGCTATCTTCTTTATCCTTGGAGGAACTGACATGCCGCATACACAGGGTTAAATCATCCACATTCCCTTCATATACCATTTGTAAAGAAGAAGTTGTATTCAGATATCTTTTCTCAAGAGCCACTACTTTATGGAACAGACTCCTGAGAGCATGCGTCCTCAAACACTACAATCTTAACCTCTTCAAGCCTACGGTCAACCATTACCTCACAATCTGCATTGCCTCCT